GTGACCCCCACACATAGAGGTGGCGAGAGGAGGCGAGAGGTGGCGAGAGGTGGCGAGAGGAGGCGAGAGGTGGCGAGAGGTGGCGAGAGGTGGCGAGAGGTGGCGAGAGGTGGCGAGAGGTGGCGAGAGGTGGCGAGAGGTGGCGAGAGGTGGCGACAGGTGGCGAGAGGTGGCGAGAGGTGGGTGGCGGGGTCACCTCCAGTCCGCAGGATGGCGGGCGCGCGGATGAAGACGGCCGGCACGCGGCGGGCAGGCGCGACGTCGGCCGCCTCGAGCGTGGTCTCGAACGAGTCGACCTACTGCGGAGGTCGCCGCCTTGGACCAGGGCGCGGCGAGGACGCGACGCGCCCGCCCCCTCCTCGCGCAGGCGCCGCCTGCGAGCCGAAGAAGTTGCGCTGGACCGTCAGGTCCATTCCGCCGACGAGTTTCTGCCCGCCCTGCTTCTGGCCGACGACCTCATCCGCGAGGAAGATGAGGCCGGCGCAGGTGCCGAGCACCGGCCTCCCGCTCGCCACGAAGGCGCGCAGCGGCTCGAGCAGCGCGAGCCGCTCGGCGAGGTGGCCCATCGTCGTGCTCTCGCCGCCCGGGATGACGAGGCCGTCGAGACCCTCGAGGTGAGGCACCTGCGACAGCGGAGGAGCGAGCGTTGCGACGCGAGAACCGGGCGCCGCTTGCGACCGCTCTGGCCCAGCGCGCTCCTGCCGGACCTCGCTCACGCGGCAGCCGAGTCGGGAGAGCATGACGGCGTGCTCGTGGTAGCCGCCCTGCAGCGCGAGGACGCCGACTGCCGGGCCTGCGGTCGGCGGAGCTTGCACGGAGTCGCATAGGTTGGCAGGGAGCGCGGCGACGACCATATCAGGCTCCCGCGATTGAGGCGACGGAGTCTAGACGGAGGCCTGTGGAGCGTCTGTGTACCCGCATGATTTTTCTTTCTCTTTTTCGACAAACTCTCTCTGTGTGTGTGTGTGTGTGTGTGTCCACGTTGGAGCCAGGTGTGGTGTGGGCGCGAGAATAGCTCCGCCGTTCATGGAGGCAACCGATGCGAGTCGACTGGTGTGTGTCGTCGTGGTTTCGTATCAAGAATACTCACTCACTCAATCACTGTGAGAGTCGTGATTTCTTGTTGGTTAATAAAAATCTCTCTCTCTCACTCTCTCTCTCTCTCTCTCTCTCTCTCTCTCTCTCTCTCTCTCTCTCTCTCTCTCTCTCTCTCTCTCTCTCTCTCTCTCTCTCTCTCTCTCTCTCTCTCTCTCTCTCTCTCTCTCTCTCTCTCTCTCTCTCTCTCTCTCTCTCTCTCTCTCTCTCTCTCTCCCCCCCCCCTCTAGGGCCGCGCAGGCGGCCGCGCTACTGGTACCCGCCGGGTGGCAAAAAGAATGTTCCGCGTCGTTTGCACGTGCCGGGGGATGTACATGTACTTTTTAACCCTAGTGGGTGGATAACCTGTCAGACAGGCGGTCTCGCGGAATCTCGCGTTGACACAACCGCGGTGCGCGCCCTGTAGGTCGCCAGACCAAACCGCGCCGGCCTGGCCATGCCCGCATAGTGGACATTGACGGGTCCGGTCGGTTCCGCGCACGCTCATCGCCCGGATCGGCTGCGCCGCGCTGCTCTCGACGGCCTCTCGAGCGGGCGCAGCGCACACGCGGCACGGCGAAGGAGGGCGCGATACTCCACCGGTTCTTCGGCCGTCTGCCTCGGCGCACGACCCGCGGGGCACGTGCGCGCCTCGAGAAGCTCCGCCGCCCCGCCCGGTGCTGCCCACCCGCCTTCGGTGGCACCCGCCGACGCGCAGGCGCTCGCGCCGGGTGCGGCTCCTCGGCGACGTCGAGCGTGGTGCCCGACGGCTCAGGAGCCTTCTACCATCAACCACTACCACGGCCGCCACCGTCGGCGCCTTCGCTCGAGCTCTCCGAGGCCGCGTTCTGACCTCGTGCCGCGGCTGTCGTCGCTGCAGCAGCGACGAGGGCCGCGGCAAGGGGTGCAGCGGCGACGGGCGGGGCGGAGAGGCGCGGCCAGCTACCGGGCTGTTGCCCCCGCCTACCGCGTCGGGCCCCTGCACCCGGAGGCGGCTTGCGGCAGCCTTCCCGTGTCTCCGTGCGACCCGATGGGGTAGCCGGCCAAAACGCGCGCGTCTGTGAGATTTCCGGACTTTGAGTGTGCACCGCGGGAAATATCAAAGTGAGAGTGTACCAAAGTTAGTAGGTCATTTTGAAGGGTTGGTATAGGCCTTTCACTGGTGGGTAGCCCGGGCGTCGCGCGGTACGCGCCGGGCCGTCAGCGCCTTTCGAAAACAGCGACACTATCCACCTACTAGGGTTAAGAGACGAACCAGAGCACGGCTGGGCGTGTGAGCAAAGAGCGGTGAGGGGGGTTCCGTTCTCGACTTTCTATGCTTGATGCTTGTGCGTCTTGCACTTGGGCTCTGGGCCGGCGCGGTGCCCCCCGGAGGCACCGTGCGCCGCGCCGCAGTGCGGAAACGGGGCTCCGGCTCTATTAGTCTCTATTAGCACCGACTTCCCGAACGATTACGGTTGATTAGAGGGCAGATTTGGAGAGATCTCGAGGAGTACATACAGATAGACCCTCCAACCATCAGAAAACTCCGACCTGATCGGTCGTACTGACCGCCGACAGATCACTCCAGACAGCAGACAGGCCGACGTCTGCACGCGGCCGGCCGGGCGAGAGGCTTGACACGATCCGACCCTGCGACCCTGACGCTGCTGCTCTAGCTATCAGCCATGCACTGCTGACTGCTGCCACAATGTGCGACCTGTGCTGGCCCACTTGGCGGCCTTCCCGGTCAGTGGTGAGGCGCAGTTCAGAGCTGTCGATCGGCGCGATGCCGCACTGGTCCCACATTGGTGACACGAGACCACCAAGTTTGCCGGTCCAAGAGAGAGGCACCGGCGCTGTCCTGAGAAGGTGCGTGGTCCCTCTTGACTGCCCATGCGCGCGAGGCTGTGTAGGCATAGCCTCGAGAGTGCCAGCAGCCAATCCGAGGTGACGCGCATTGCGCCAGAAGCGTGCACGCAGCTGGAAGGACACCTTCCTACTGGCCGTACGATCAGGTCGTCACTGAATGCTTGATACTAAGGCCGCGAGCTATGCAGGTGATCAATTGTGCATCATGGCACGGGCAGCAGCGCCGACAGGCTGTCGCAAGGCGTGATAGCATGGCCGCAAGTACGCCGAATTCCCATGAATGAAAACATAAACAAGAAAAAAATCGCGAAAAAAGAAAACTCCAAAAAAATCGGCGCCTGCGGCGGGCCAGGGGACCCCATCTCCCCCCC